ATAACGTTTCGCGTCTCACTTTTTATATCCAGTGGGATGTTCTTTATGGAATTCATTAGAAATCCTCAACATTCAAATCTCTGTAACACAAGCGAAACATTTTCACCGCGCGGTAGAATACACAGTACTAAGGAACTATATACATTTTCAATATTTCAGAAACACCAAAATGAACATTGTTTTGACCCAATTTAAGATAAACAGTTACCCTCTTTAATAAACGTAAAAATAAGTGTGCCTTAATATTAATCTGTCATTTTCCCTGGCAAAGTTCATTTGTGTTATTTAACTTTCTAACGTCACAAACATCTCTAACGTCTATGATTAAGCACAGCAATTCTGAAGGGCGCTTTTTTATAAAAAAAGATTTAAGAAAACAATGATGAAGAAAGAGGTATTCGATATATTGACAAGGCCAGGTATACATCCAAAAATGAGAAATCAATGCTTATGGTAGGACAAAACACCCGTGGAATCTAATTTGACCCATTTTTGAAAAAGTACTGGAGAAAAAAAAAGAAAATAATATTACTATAATTACAACAATGAACGATCCTTGTATGTTTTGGCATGTTTGCGCCATATTTAGTGAAAAAATCAGAGAATCCTATATATTGGTCACTTGGGGGCTTACATTTTGGAATGTGTTTACGCAATGTAAGTGCAATAAATAAGCATGTAACATCTGTCATAAAATGCAGTGTAACTTTTGTTCCATAAATAGCAGAGGGCTGATATTTGGACACACAATATAAGGAATCTCCATTCTTTATGGAACTACAAAGGTCAAGGTCATATCAAGAGGACAAAGGTCAAATCTTGTGACGTCATCTACTGAATCTTAATTTTTTGCCATTCAATTTTTTTAAATCGCCAAAATATCTGAAACCAGTGGTTCAATATTCTTTATTTTTACGCATTGTGTTCTAGGACCCATTTGAATCAGTTAATTTTTTGTATGAATTGAATTATACATTTTCTCTTAAGAAAACTTAAACTGTCGGATATTTACATGTGAATTTTCAATTTTGACGCTATGTATGTTCTATTTTTACTTAAAAATGTACTCAAAGTTTCCAGTATCAATATGACTTGCTTATTTAAAGTAACAAAAAGGTTATCTTTATTAAAAGTATTACACAAATTTGCATTAGATCAATTGATAATTCTAAAATAAGGCTCATTCTCAAGTCGAATGTCTGATTTCACAATCTTCTTACAGGGGTCTGATAGGCCATATTTCAGACTATGTGGCCAAAAAATGTGTGGTTGAATTTCTTTCATATCATATATAAAGAAAGATTTTGTATCCTAGAACAAAATATCGAAGTTTCAGAAAAATTGAATTTGAGGAAAAATTTGACCTATCTATTGTGTCGTACCTTAAATATAATACTTTCTAAAAGATCACAGGGTTCGTGAACTTGAATAACTTCCATAAAAAAGAATGGGGTATAGTGTGTATTATTTTTCAAATTAGTTTTCTCTGAATTTAATGCACATCTCCAACTGTCCTGTCCATGTGCGGAACATATAAACCAGGCGCTCGGATGCTATATTCTCGATAGCGTTCTGCTCACAGAAACTAAAATATTTTTTTCAGAGTTTTATATTCAAACCATGCAAGTTAGTCACATATAGCAAAATCTCGGCAATAGGATGGTGTATCAAGATATCTTTTCCCACAATGAACATTGTGATCATCACAATCTGAGTCCTACGTTTTGGGTGCGCCGTTTACCCAATGTTGATTTCTGGGCGCTTTCTTGTAATCATATCTGATATGCTTCAAGTCTTAAGTAAACGATATTTTAGGGATGTAATAATTATACTGTTGTTAAAATATTGAACTATTTTTTCCTAATTGGTACGAATTTGTTTCTAATTGTTACTTATCGATCTTTGATAACATATTGCTCAACTACGGACACACCATCTCAATTCCTTCACTAAAACAATAAATCCAATTAATAATTGAACTGAAGGTAATTCCTTAGTCTTCATAAACCTTGTATGAATTATTATAACTGCTTTAGATTTCCTAGACATACATTTCACTTTACAGCAGTTCGTTGCTCGACTACGATTGAGTCAACCATTTTTGTCACAAGTCATCTACAAAATGGCATATGTCATTTTCACATTATAACATCACAAACATAGAGGAAAGATTGCATAGCATCTGCTTTTTATAGAACATAAGTATAAATATATGTGTGCAAAAATTTCATTCTGATCTGAAATGTGGTTCTGTAAAAAAAAAAAAAAAGAAAAGAAAAGATGATTTGCGAACTTTTTGATCAACTCTTGTACACATTCCTTCATTGCTATGTGAAACTATTCTCTTATGACATTGATAATAAATTCCTTTGGTTAATATCTTTTTACTGAGTGTTACTTTCATATTTTTCTCTCAGTGACAAATGCAAATAACAATTTTCTTACTACCATGTGTGCCAGGGATGTCCCAGAAATCACAAACTTCATTCAAAGTACTCTTTAGAAAATCGCATCACCACTCGTCCTCACATATACACCATTTACGTAAATTTGCTACTAGCTATATGTAAGCTTGGGAAAAATGAGTCATGCAAAAATTGGTCAGTCTTGGTTAAAAAATCAAAGAAAAAATTATAAGCACTATCTAAGACTTCTTGCTTCATTGTGTACTATCAATAAGAATTTCTAACATATTTTTATTATTTATTTCAGTGTGAGATTTGTAGAATCATGTTTATGTCAACAAAATAAGGGGACTAATGACATAAATGTAAAGAGTGTTCCTTTCATATTGGAGAAACTGAGCAAAATACCTAGACGAAGTATATAGACTTAAAATTTTCGTTAAAAATATTCAATATGTTGTAATATGTTGTATGTTTCTGGAAATGTTGTTGTACAATACTTCCGATGTTTCTTTAACAGCTATAAACATTTTCGTGAGGAGCAAAAAATTGGGCTAGGTAGAACTTGTATCTTTGTTTCTTTATATTTGTATGAAGTCTTTGGAGTCTAGTAAAGGAACAGTACGTCGATTTCAATTGTTAAAAATAATTAAAACATTCATACTATTTAGAAAAAAAAATTCCTCCATAGAAAAGAAACTTGGAAAACGTGTAATTTGCATTAATTCTTGTAAAATTTTAATCCAATTTTCTCTATAGCAATTAATAAGAGCCTTACAAGCAAAGTCTAAAATATTGTACTCTACTTTTCCCCCAGTTGATTCGTTACGCAAGAGTATATATGTTCTACGTACATAGGAGTTCTAAAAGAAGGCAAACTATTGACAAACAGGTTAGTGGAAGGAGGATGTTAAAGGTCTCGTTTTGCATCAACATGTTCCAAATTGTCAATAACAACTTTTAAAAAAGCAATTGTCCACGATCAAAGTTTTTCATATTAATTGTTTAGCTTCTATTCATAACTTAATTGTCTTGGGATTAGAATTTTTGCAGCTATAAGATTATAAGCTTTGGAAAGGTGTGAACAAATGACAGGGGAAGAAGATTATTCCTCCATAAGTACCTGATCCAATCTTTGATGTTTAAGTGGTCCAAGTTTGATTTGCTCCCACTTTGTGTTGTTTGCACGGACTTTAAAGCTTAAACAATGTTCGAAATCACCATATTTCATCCTAAATAATTCCAAGAACTTTTTGGAAATTGAAAAATCACCGAATTCAGTTACATTAAAGACGTTGAATCTTTTTTACTGTTGATAATACCCCTCCTCACGATTAATAGTAAAAAAGGATTTTTCATATCATAGTTGCCTGCTTCTTTCAACAAACAGTAGAAATTTCTGTGGGCACTAATTGTACTTCACTATTAACTGACCTGTTAAAATATTTGTTTGAAGCAGAATAGATTTCAAAAACGTAAGTGTTAAATGAACAAAACATTTTTCCAATTATATGTTGTCTTGTTACATATATATCCGAAATAAATCGATGGACAACTGGTTTTTTTTAATTCCGATGTTGGCGGCCGGACACCTATATAGTAATTGGACAATGACTGAAAAAATCAGGCGAATCAGGGAGGGGGTCATGGGGAAAAACATGTAGATAAAATCAGGGATGCCTCCACCAATACCCAGCATCGCTCCTTATCGGCAATATATCATTGACACATCTTTCATGAATCGACCAATTTCCGGCCAGTATAGGTGCCATGCAGGTCAAGAATGATTTATCATGGAGTCACTTGCCGTTCAATCGTCGGCGGGGGTATGTTTGTTGATGTGACAGTTGTGTTAAGGACTACTTGACCGACGAGGAATAAATGTTGGCGCATCGTTCAAAACACCGATTATCACCGGTCTACGGCAACCGGCCGCCAAGAAATCTTATTGAAACTTACATGACCGATATTTAAATGTGACTGATATTTTATAGCCAATGAGGACCGATGCTGGTGCATCGTTCACATCAAAGATTACCACCGGTCTCCGGCTACAGAATCTGGCTCATTTAAACTTGAAACTGAGTTGCAAAAGGGTATGATGCAGGAGTGGTTCAAATCTGCTAAATTAAATTTAGAAAAAGTGGAAACGTCATTGTGGGATATGTGCTTTTAAACGGATCGGTGGTTGTCATATCGACCAATGAAAAAAATCAAAGTAAGGACGAGTTTAATGAAGTCACCTTCTGGCAAACTGAAGTTCTGAGTATTGGCTGGTCATGTTGTAGTCTTTAATGCAATATCTTTGATTTAATTATTACTTCTACTTTCTTGAAAAAATATCACTTCTTAAATTTAAGCAACAACAAAAAATTGGAGTGTATATTTCTTCAATAATATCGCCAGAGACACTACGTGACAGTATATTGTTTTAAACAAATCTCATATCGTGTTAAGACACCAATCTTACAAAATGTAGACACTTTTAAAATATCACTTTATCCACATATCAATTGAGAGTTGCAAAGATATATGGTGTTTTTACAGATGCAATACTATGCATGCATGACATTTATATAAATAAATAGCTCAAATTTATTTTGTTGAAAAGATAACATCAAGTTTAGCTACAATTTCAAATATTGTAGGTCTTTGTTTAGGGTTTGGATTCAAACAAGCGCGAATTAAGTTCTCCACATCGCCCCCTTTTCCTTTGAAGATCTTCTTTTCAAAACGCCTTTCAAGATCAATTCGTTCACCATTAATCAACTCCCATAATGTAAGTCCGAGTGAATAAACATCTGAAGCTTTTGTATGTGGAAAGATCGAGGAATCTCGAAGTTCTGGAGCCAGGTATATTAATGTTCCTCGACCACGAATTGTCTGGACACTATCAATGTGCTTTGAATGTCCTACGTCACAAATCACGACATTATCGTCATCATCAACCTAAACGAATTCCATATTCAATCTTTTAATTAGTGAGTTTCAAAAAATAATGTAATCAAAAATTTGCTATGAAATATCTTAGATGAAAAATTCATCCTGGAGGATTTTATTAAACTGCCAAATAACAATAAAACAACAGCTAATAACGAATTTCTAGGAAGAGTATAGTTCATAAAAAAGCTTTAAAACGGTTGTAAAATCACTCAACTGTAAGTCTAGAATCTTTATGAAATTTTTGGTTGTGATTGTGATTTACCGGTACTATAAATTCTTAAACCAGAAGTCTTTGTCGAGACTGTAGCTCTCCGGGATTGTACTTGTAACAAATGAAAAGTAGCAGTTGGACTTTTTAAAAAACGAAAAGTGAATTATGTATCTCAGTGTAGTCTACATAAATGCTGCATTATATTCAAATCAGACCAAAATTGTAGGAGGAATAGCATTTTGAAAGTATTTCAAAGAAATTTATTTTTTTAGTGATCACGGCAACACCGTTTCTCAAAATCAAAAACCGCTACACGGAATTAGGTATCTTAGTGTAGTCTACTTGTGTGCCAAGTTTTATTGAACTCAGACCAAAACTGTAGGAGGAGTAGCATTTTGAAAGTATTTCAAAGAAATTTATATTTTAGTTACCTCAGCAACACCGTCCATCGAAATAAAAAAAAAACGATACAAAGAATTTTGTACCTTAATGTAGTCTTTTTGTGAGCCAAATTATATCGAAATCAGACCAAAACTGTACAACAAGTAGCATTTTGAAAAATTGTTTACAGACGGACAGACGGACGGACGACGGACAACTTACTATCGCATAAGCTCTTCTGGTCCCTGACCAGTAGAGCTAAAAAAGGAGGGTAGAATAATGAAATAAAGTAATTTTTACCAAATAGTTGGAGAGTTTAACATCTCTGTGTATAACTTGATGTCTGTGTAGAAACCGGAGGCCTCGCGCAGCCGCTTTGGCGTATTTGATTCGTCTCTTCTGATCAGTACATTTAAGCACATCTACAAGGCTACCCCTGTATCTCTTCATAACAAGCTGTAAATGATAATGACCCTTTTCAACATGACCAGCAGAGCCCTCATATTGTACAAAGAAGGGGTAGTCTTCATCAGCTTTCTTCAACGACAAATGTCTAATAATAAAACAAAGCAAATGTCTAATTAGAAAAAAAAAAACAAATGTCTAATAATGAAACAAAGCAAATGACTAAAAATGAAACAAAGCAAATGGTTAATAATAAAACAAAGCAACTGTCTAAAAATGAAACAAAGCTAATGGCTAATAATGGCTAACTAAGCAAAAATCTAATAATGACAAAAAGTTTATAGCTAATGGTGATACTAAACAAATATCTAATAATGAACAAAGCTAACAGCTGATAGTGAAACTAAGCAAATGTCTAAAAATGAAACAAAGAAAATGTCTAACAATGAAACAAAACAAATGTCTAATGATATTTAGCAAAGCAAATGGCTAATAATACGACAGAGCAAATGACTAAATTCAAAACATTTTTAAAAGCTTGAAACAATGTACATAAGAAATGATGTTTCAATATTGCTTAAACTCTAAATTGATTTTAAATATTTGAACATATACCCACTTTAATAAATATCTTTCTCGAAATATTGAAGAGTCGCAGGGAAGAGATGTTTTATAATCCCCCTTTTCCTTTGTCGAATCTTCTGCGCGCGTTTCTCGGAGTTGCATTTGAATTTCCTTAACAGCACGTATTTCATTTTTTTGCGACTTTACCGTAGCATTATAAACATTCACTTTTTGATTATGATGTCCTATTCCTTGGTCATAGTGTACGTTTATCTCATCTGATGAAAATTCGTGCTGCATAATGGAACCAACATAGACGTCCCAAAGACTTTTGGCGATCTCATTAAATTTCTCACAAACTGACGAACGATCTGTGTTTCCCTTTAATGAAGCATGTTTTTTGTTTTTGTTTAAGATATTAACAAGTTCAATCCTATGTCTATTCATTTCTTGAACAATCTTATTTAAATTACTGGCCATATGTTCTTTGATTTTGGCCACCACCTTTTTGATGAGATTTTGTTTCGACATACTGTCATTCTCCATTATAGACAATGCAAATTCGTAAATGGCGAAAGCAGCAATTCCAAGTCCAACAGGCCATAGAAATAGAGCCACAAAAGGTAGGACGACCTTGTCGTTATCAATTATGGAATTCTCATCTTGAGCTACGGTTCCTTGAAATTCCCCATACATTAATTTTTCTTGGATTTCTGACCTCATCCTGGACAGTGTGTATTCCATCTCTATGTCGCAAGCCCGTTGGAAACTTTTAAGGACTGGGCTTATTTTATCCCTCAAAGACATTACGTTTTTAATTGTGAGTTCGTCCATTTGTATTTCATGATCTAAATATCTACGGATCTTGTCTTCATATAAGATTTGAATGCTTGTCATTTTATCTGCTATAGTGGAATCAGTTTTCAAACGATCAAGGAAAGAAAACACTTTTTCTAAAGATTCACGTGTTTTCGTGTCAATCCGAATAATATCTTCCATAGATTTCCATTGGTTTCCAAATTTCATAAAGGCAGACGCACATTCAAGCAAGCGTGTTAACCACCTGTTTATAGAAAAGACAAAATATTCTAATCTATTCAGTTGTTTGTGATAATTTATGTAAGATGTACAAATTTCGTTCAGTTATACATTTCATATTTACGAAGTTTGACCAGTAAAAAAAGTTCCTCTGGTGATAATAACGAAATTGGTCTATTTTTAAATTACAATTTTCCTAGTGTATTTTCTAATCTTTTGTCCTTTAAATGCATCAATCTCATATCAACTACGGAACAACAAATTTTTCCTATAAACTCTTAACCAATGTTTTTCCTTTATATGAGGATATTTTGCAATCAAAAGTCAAGGTTCACTGAAAAAAATCATTTTTGACCAAAAGAGAAGCACATTTGAACATTTTTTTACATAAAAATGCACAAGGAAATAATGATATGTTAAGATTTTTTCACAAAGTACTTTAACTCATTTCCACATAATACCAGATAACTTACATGCAATGTTCCTCCAGTAATAAGCGTTCAGATTTTATTAAGAAATCTACGATTTCTCTCTGAAGATCCATCAAGCTATTTGCTTTCATCTGAAAATGCACGTAAAAAATAAATTACTTATTACAAAAGTAGTGAGAAGACACGTAGAATTCTCACAAATATGTTTCAAAAGGGCAAAATGGATGCTTCACTTGAGAAGGAAATTAATTGCAAACTAACAATTAATGTCATTAACTTTCCTCATTTGCAACTTTAGGACAGTATACCTCAGGATTTAGTGTTTTTGACTCCAAGCTGATTTGATATGCAATAATTATGTTCTGCAAATGACCAATTTTCAATCTAAGACTTACTATTGATAAATATATTGATGCAACAAGGGCATCATGTCTTGCTTGAAGTCAACATTTTTCAAATTATTTATGCAATACAATAACTTTGCTTGCAATTTTACCATCTGACGTTAAGTCGAACAATAACTGACGTATGCTCAAAATTTCATTTAAAATAAACGATTTTGATCGACAACCAAAGCATTACATTGAATTGAAATAATGTTTGAGGTATGAAACGAGGCTTACTTTATCCAAAATTTTATTTATGTCTAACATGGTACAAAGGAAACATGACACAGTAACTGAAAGATTGAAAGATCACTAATTTATTATCCCAACATAAGATCGAAAAGATGAGTTGTATTTGCAAAATTATATCTTAAGTTTAACAGATTAAATTCATATACATGTAATACAACATATTAAAGCGTTGTCCTTTTTTAATTCTACCACTTTGTTTATCTATGCCTGTTAAAGAGCGTTGACTAGCGAGATTAACTTTATGTTATGTATCTTTTACTGAAACGGTACCAACCTCTGTCATATTGTCAACGAAAACTATCTGACTTCTCACCACCATTGGCCAAGTCATCTGGATCCTGGCAAGTATCTTGTCTGTAAGTTCCGATTTTTTCCTCTCGTTTTCACTGATTTTTTTGGGGCAATGTGTACAAAGAAATAGTGCTGCCTGGGGATCCAAAATTGAACTTTCCATAGCAATTACATTGGATATATCGGACATCAACTTTTGTATCTAGCGTTAGTGGAAATAATAAGAAAGAAGGTAAGAAAAAAATGAAAATATGATTTAAAATATGATTGAAAAAAATGTAGATAACGAACAGTATTCAAGACCAAAAGTCCATAATTAAACAATACAAAATAGGAGCAGAGCAAACGCGGACCTCCAAAACATCAGAGGTGGGATCAGATGCCATGGAGGAGTGAGCATCCTCTGCCGGTAGGTTACAACCGAATGAATGTAAATACTCACCGACGAATCGTGAATTCCATGATCTTTGGCAATGTAAATCATGAATATGAAAGTGTGACACTTGTCAACATTTCGAAGATATGGCTGAAACGATTCTGGGTGGTCAGGGTCGACACCAGGAAAATCCATAAATATGATTGGCATTGACCCCCTCCGCTGAAAGTAAAGCATTAAAAATGGCTTTCTGAGTGATAAAAAGATATTAAATTCTGCAAAGTTTGGCAATGCGACTAGCCCTTAATAGTGTAAATAACCTAGCTATGCTAAGTTGTACTCAGAGTCAGAGACGAGTTACGATCATTGGATGGTCGTGTCTTTGTTTTAAAAACACTTTTGATAAGAACATGTCATTTAAATATATTTTTAGATAACATCGAATTTAGATAGCAGTTGAAAACAATTTAACTAGTGCAAATTATTATTTCTTGTGAACTTATTTTCAATTTTAAAAATACTAGTAAATCAATCACATATAGATCAGAAATAACTCACAGGAGTTATACTCTCCAAAGAATCAGATGACATATCAATACTTCCACTCGCATGTCGTCCCTATAATAATAATAATAAACGTATCAATTAGTATGAAACAATTTAAGTCAACCAAAAGCCAAAATGCAACACAGTGATAGAATATATTTACTAATAAGGTAATTACAATCACCATGGAATTTATGAAATGCTGACTTTATACGAGGTTGTTGAAATCTCTGAAACATCAACTTGCCTAAAAGTAGCATGTCTCAGTTTAAACACTAATCTTACTTAACATGTTTTTGAGAAGTGAATAAGTTGTGAGACATAAAACGGCAAATGCAGGTGGTAGCGGAATATAACTACATCAATAAAGAATGTCGATATCTAAAACATGAAAGACTCTTTCTTTTAGATAGCTCTCTGGCATACTCGTTTAACAAGTAGACATATGAGTCAAAATAACTAATGTAAGCAGACTTAACATTTCTGATATCTAAATAACAAGAATATATAGATATTAAGTACTATATATTGTATCACATCCAATTATAAAACGGGTCGGCTATTAAAGAAGCACAATTAATGCCCATCATTATTCCAACAGATTGGTGGAAGACATATCACGAAGTCTTAAGTTTCTACTTTACAGTGCTTAAATTTTTACAAGAATAACCGCACGTTCATGTGATTATGGTATATTGCTTCTTAAATAAAGGACGTTGAAGAAAGAAAGGTTAAACTTGTCGCGTTTATCATAAAGTTTATTAGTAATTGACAATGCGATCTTTGCAATCTTTGTCTTTCTCTAGTAAGCATTAAACAAATAAAGCAGTTCTATTAGACTTCGCGGCGTCATAACTGTCCATTTTATTGGGATATATTGAAACGTACGATCGTTGTTAATTGATAAAATATATCTGAATGTCGTTCTAAAAGCAAAAGCAAGAAAATTCACACAGCCATTGTGCTGCTTCTATGACTTGTGACACTTACCGCTTCTTCTCCTTTTACATCTGTCTGATGCATGCTCTGAAAAAGGCACAAATTGTAGAAAAATAAAATATTGACATTTATTTCATTTTCTTATAAATCGTTTGATGTAATTTTAGTATACTTTGGATAAAAAATCTAAACTCAATCCACTTTTGTGGAGTTAAAGTCTTCTCCACTAACTAAGTAACTTCCTCTGGTGAGAATTCTAAAATTCTTTTTTTCAGTTATTACTGATGTATTTTAAACGAAATACATAGCGCTGTACATATTACATATTGTACGCTTAAGAAAGGAAAACTTTTGATTTACATGATTAAATTATGAAAGAAAACTATATATAGTTCCACGCACTTTTTAAACTCACAAGGTTTTTCGAACAAATTAACGTAACATTGTAGAAATGCAAAATTGTGTAATGTGGCAAATAAATATATTTTAAAATTGATTTTTAATTAATAATTTAATTATAATTTTATTTCGCTAACTTAACATAATTTGCAGATAATATTTGTAAGGATTTTCATAGGCTCTAGGATGATAGATTATGACATTCCCCAATTGGTTTTCCGTGGTTTCTCGTCGAATGCAGCCAACTTTGTACCTGTTCTTTTTAAAGCATTCCTTTGCCTTGCCTAGACACACGTGTAACTTCTGTATTCCCTGTACAAAACATGACTCTTAAGTGCATGGCGATAAAAGTAATTCTCATCTGTTTGACTGCTTTCCATGTTACTTCAGGGTTGCTTTCCGAAATCTAGCATCATGAAAGATGTCCCAACGCAAGATTTCTCATTTTTAGACCGTAAATGTAAAAAGAAATTTTATTTTAAATCGTTACAATTTATATTTTTAAAGATAAACAAAACTTTATTATCCATCTTTTGGCATGGTTTTTTTTATGCAGCATTATCACTTTTCGGCGCTACATTTTGACAAAACCAAGACAAGTATAATACGTGTGAAAAATAGTTAGAAAATACTCATCTATGAGAAGTTAGTTTGAAAATTGCAATTAAATATTATCAAAGAAAGCTCGATTTATTTAATCTGTAAATATCTATGGTAGAATCAAACTAATGTAACATCATATAATTTATTAATAAAGTCTCTTTTAAAACATCGACTTTGAAAACTTAGGATGATGACTTTAAAGAATATATATCTTTGACACAAAATATTTGATACATCTTAGGGTTATTTCTCATGCATACTGAAGTTCGATAACGTTAAGTTTTATTGCAAGAAGAATGTGACCTTATTTTATGAAAAATTCATGTGAGTTTAAAAAAATGCGCGGAACTGTATACATGTACATCCTTCATCTCGTTTTTTTTTTGTATTAAAAAGTCAAATTTAACCTATAAATAGGATTAAAAATATGAAAGACGAATCATTGAATACCTTGAAGATGGTCAATGGCCAGTATATTTCGACTTTAGTAACTCTGTTTTGATTATCAGTCTTGTCCTTAATACAGGCCTGAATCCGTTTCCATTCGTCGGAAGTCGATTCAGGTGGTAAATTAATGTCTATACGCTGTCCTGTCCGGTAGTGTATAATTCCTAGTCTGTTTTACCATGTTAAAAGACTTACTCAGTAGTTTGATAAGTTAATTCTTTTCATGACAGAATAATGCATAGATTTTAAAAGTAGTGTCATGATTCACAAGAGTAAAGGACATAAAGAAAATGCTCAAATCATAAATGATTTACAAACTATTGGACATCTTTATTTCTAACGTTTTTTCACATTAAACATATTCTTAAATTCTTTTTTAAAAAGTTATCTTTGTAGATTTTCAAAACATTTTATTAGAATTTTCTTGATATAAATACCTCATTGGGTTATTGTGAACCTCGCAGAGAACGTTTGTACAGCTTCCATGGTCGGTAGGTAAATAGTCTCCACCCATCAGTAGGTTCAGAAAGGTCGACTTACCCACCGCCACCTCTCCTACAATTAAGTACAATTAAGTACAATCATATTACCATTATATGAGCTTTGATTGTCTCTGCAATCCTGTTGGCTTTAATTCTATACTAGCTTGCAAATACAAACCATGACTTATACGAAACACTTCATTTCTTATACAAAGTGTATAAAAAGAAAAAAAATCTTTTAACAGAGGCACCTTTCTTTTCTTTTTTTTTTGATGAATGAACTAAATTGAAAAATTTCAAGGACGCTAAACATAGAACTCAATTGATTTAAAAGCTGGACTGAAAGAACGACTGCAGAGGTGGATTAATCTGCAGACAATGAAATGTATGTAGACTGCGACAAGGTCCCATATGCATGCCAGTATCAGAGTTAATTTTTACTTCACTTTTAAGAAATGGGCACGATATCTTGTTATATACCTGCTATGTAAACACGAAGTTCACGCTGTCCTTCCTTCAAGCTCTCCATTCTTCTCTGTAGAACCTCTGTGATTGTAACACGTGAGTCCTTCATCATATGGTACTGAAGGGTAAGTTTCTCCAGTGTATCCAACTGGCTCTCAGTGAACGCTTCATCAGCCTCTTTATACAACTTGTGGCAATTTTTATATTTAGCATCAGAGAACATTGACTGTAATTTTTCCTGTCAATAAAAATTGGAAGTATCGATATTTCCACAAGCAACATAAGCTCTTAGAATAATATTTTTCATATGTGTATTCCTTTACAATTCTTGAAAATACTAGTACATGATTTGTGATAAAAATACAATTATATGCATTCAAATTTATTACAAGAAATATCAATTAGCATTTTAAAAGGGCGATGCTATTGAACCTAATAAAAATTGTTAGACCTATTGAGTTTTTTCCTTTAAAAATAAAAAAAATTAACTGTACGCATTCACGAAAAATCATTAAGAAGGAAAAAGTAAGAAAATATATGAGTTCTTGACTATAAAATATATGGAGATAGTGAGCAGCATTCAAGCTCAAAAGTTCATCTAAAAATACTAAATAGGAGCAGAGCAAACACGAACCAAACACTTTATTTTGAATATGTACTAAATCTTTTTTGAAAAACAATTTAGGACAAAACTATCAATTTGTTAACTTACAGCAGGATCATCGTCTATGTCACAGTTTCTGGCCATGGTCCCAAATTACACCGGGGTCTGACCAGGTGAACTACTTTAACATATCTAATGAAGCTGGTCATAGCGCTCATCAAATATGTTAACTATTTATCAACAAATCATACATCATTACGATTGGTTGGTGTTATCAAACGCGTGAAGAACACGATAAACTTTACAATAGATAGTAGTGATTAGATCGGGAAGTCCTACATTTGTAAGCTTAAAAAAGACCTTAATCTACGACTGAAAAATTGATTAACTGATACATAATTTTGAACTCGAATATACTGGAAAATTTGTTATCCTTGATATGTTTTAGATTTCTTTCACTCTTATAAAAATACAACTAAAGGCATGCCTTTATTTACTTTTGCAAAGATTGATTTGTTTGAATGCACATCGTATTAAAGATTTCCTGAGACAGTTTTTTTTTTTCTTGAATTAATAATGACCGTTAATTTGAGATTTTCTGACACACACACATAGTTACAGATGTGAGATAATGATGTTTAATATAAAAGAGGAGGATAAGCTCGAGAGTGTTTTGCTTCTCCTATTTTGATTCTATGCGTTCCACTTTTTCCCCTATTTTACTTTATGAAAACGAGAAATTCAATTGTGACGAGTTATTTATCAAGATACATAAATAAAGATTTTATTTTAATCAATTCATAATTTTTTTTGATTTAACTTTTCCTAAATGTCGCCTTAATTTTGTTATACCGTACATCTTTTTTATACTTCCGAGGGGATAAATTTTTTTGTTAAATACATGTTTGTTGTTACCAATTTGAATATTTTAAAAAACATTTTATAAATTTGTTAGATATAATTATAGCAGTAGTTAAAATCGTTGTATATAAGAAAACATATTTTAATTCAGTTTAAAAATTCATTCCATGATATTGGTGTAGAGGGAACGCATACCTCTAAATCGTCAGAGGTTGAAACATGTGCCGCGGAGGAGGAATCAACTCAATTTTATGCTTGAAATTTTTCATGTTCAACATTTGAAATAAGAAGGATTTAGAGATAACAAACAGTATTCAATATCAAAGCCAATAAAACAATATAAAATAGGAGCAGAGCAAACATGGACCTCTAAAACATCAGAGGTGGGATCAGGTGTCATGGAGGAGTGACAATCCCTTGCCGACCTGTCACACCCGCAGTGTGCTCCTTGTCATGATTGGGAAATAACGGAAAAATCCGTCGTCAATTCAATGCACAAATAATGGACTAACAATTAGTATGAAAAACGTCAGTCAGCATTTGTCTCAATGATAAATTGTATTTGCTGACAAGGTCATTGTATCGGCCATAGAATTTACGGAATGATGACTTTAAACGAGACTGTTGATATTCTTATTTCATCAACTTGTTTGTCAATAATTTACCTCGTTTTAGAAATTGTTCATACGTAGAGCATGCTCTTGCGTATCGAATCAACTGAGATAAATGGACTCCTTATGCAGGTGATGAAGGTATATTGCTGCATAAGTAATAGCTTGGTTGTTAGATTACCATTAACGTCTTTTTCAAGTAAATTATCCAAGTATGAAACAAATGTGTCAGACTCTGTGGTATCTTTTATCTCAAGCTCACCAGGATACGACCTAGGAATGGAAATGAGAAGGACATGGAGATAACGAACAGTATTCAATCTCAAAGGTCATAAAATAATACAAAATAAGAGCAGAGCAAACACGGACCTCCGAAACATCAGAGGTGGGATCAGGTGCCATGGAGGAGTGAGCATACCCTGTCGACCGGTCACACCCGCCGTGTGCTCCATTGTTTATTGACGATACGTCATCGATATATCTCAATGTCGAGTTGAAGGCCACAGTAAATGTTTTCTTCTTTTCACGCATTAGATTTTGCACAAATTCTGCTTCATCTGAATATAAAAATAGATCTACTAATAACGGAGCGCAATTGGTACCCATGGGATTTCCAATAGATTGTTGTAGGACCTGGTCTCCAAAAACCACATATATAGATATTGTCAATCAGAAACTCAAGCATATTTTTGATGTCAAGTTCAGAGTACATCAGAATTTGTTTTAACAAAATAATTCTGCAAATGACCAATGACCAGGTAAGTAAATTTACGAGTTCCATTTTTATTGAAAAAGCAGCTGTCAATGATATAAAAAAGACTTTAATTTATCGTGGTGAATGGTTGTGTATAAAGTTGAAAAGTCGTAAGTTTTTAAGCTGTTGATTTTGGTAAATCCTTGTAATTAAAATTGTCCAAAATTTCCTTGGAATTTTTGAGAATCCACCTCTGATTAACACAACTTCTTGAATATATTGCTGCGCAGTACTCTTGAATTTTTTCCTTCACTACTGTTACTGGAACCAGCAATGTATCTTTGTTTGTAAAATTTTTTAGAAAGTTTCGGAATCCAATATACATAGGGTAGTTCAAATTCATTTTGGCTCTATAAATATAGACGCGTCATATGAAAACTATCAAAAAACCATACATAACTACGATTGGTTGATGTTATGTTACTCGTGAAGAATAATATAAACTCTAACGTAGATTAATGGTTAAATAGGGAAGTCCTACATTTTATAGACTGCAAAGGTTCACCTATACTACGACTCAAATTGGATACGATAAGTATATGAACTCTGTTCCACATGTCATCTAAAAACATGTTTAAGATTACATTTACTCCAAATCAGTACAACATATTTATCAAAGTGTGCTCATAATACGTTTTTCCTTACATAAAATCCTTCTCAGGTGTGTTGATATACTTTAGAAGGTCTTGTTTTGAAAAGATCTTTAAAACTATAAAGAATTGGTGAAACAAAATCTTTAATTTATCAAAATGACAGTTAAAAAAAGTATTATGTTTATTGTACAATCTCTGTGGTAGTGAATGATAGAACATTAGAATTTCAAACAGCTGTTAAGGGTCCTCCACACGCATACAGCTTATGTTCTCATATTATTGAGCATTACTTTTAACAAGCATATCAACCTTTAAAAAATGACCAGGAATTAAACTGTAATTTATAAGGAATTTTTAAAATAATAATATCAAAAGTTTCAAAAATTTTCCCAAGGAGTTTACAAGCGGTTTCCAGGCAATTCGCAGATGTAAAATCTAAGTAAAACGGAAGTAAAAGTATTTTTTCTCTATATACGTCACAAGTCACATGGTGTGGAGGACCTTTAAGCTGTTTTGTTAAGATGAAAATGGGAAAAAACTTGGAGGATGCCAAATATTTTTATTTGCAGATAGCTTTTAGTATCACTTCTTGGACGACTCTCAGCTGAAAAATAATAAAATGTTTTTGTTGATAGTTTAAAATATATTTTAGATATTGAAATCTTCATTTCCAACAACTGTTTAAACCTTGCAAGAAGGCATTTTCAAGCCTTAAAATATTTTACCTCTTGGAATTTTCATATAAAACACTCATATTCCTTCTTCAGGTACATTTTTGGCCTCATGATCTTGCCTGGTAATCATGTTCCCCTAGTTGTAAGTGTTTAAGAGTCCAGTGCCTGATCTGAGAAAGAACAATTTTTCAACTTACACCGGTCCACCGACCAATATACGATTTAAAATGGATTTCAACAACCTCGTTGAAAGCATATTTCGGTAATACATGTGAAATTATTTTGACCTCGTTAACTAATATAACCTATCGCTTGGTCTTCTGTTTTTTACTAATATGTTTTTGTATTAATGTTTTTTCAATCTTAATCTTACTTCTGTCTTCCTTGTTAACACAGAAAGCTCATGGCGGATGTATCTAGTTGAGAGGAAATTCTTACTCCCCCTAAGCACCAGATCCCGCCTCTGGTTTTAAAAAAAAATGTGTTTTGTGTTCTGCTTACAGTATTTGTTCATGTTTATCGAAAATATGAGTACAGTAAAGTAATAGTAAAGCTTAACGATAAAAAATAAAAAAAAAAACTCAAATTTTAATTTTCTTCCTAAATATATGTATATATAGTGGAGAAAATAAAAAAGAAATTCTGTTCATGTTTATCGAAAATATGAGTAAAGCTTAATGATTAAAAATAGAATTTAACCTAATTTGTAAATTTTGTTAAATATATATGTATATATAGTGGAGAAAATAAAAAAAAATCTGTTCGCTTCATAAAGCTTAAAAGATTTGAAATTAATTTTATCTATAATTAAAGGTCTCCGTTCCTTACCGAGGAAGGTACAACGTTGAATAAAATTTTAAGACAAAAAGGTGATAAAATAAGAGAGTAAATAACCTTCCACTACCAAGAAAAACATAAACTATTTAACGACCGCGCTAAATAGATGTATTCTTGTGCAAAAGTAATTATCACGTTAGATACGAAATGCCAAGGCATGATACATGATTTAGAAAGCTTCATCTGAATCTTAGAGAAACAGATCTGTATGTAGCATGTTTATTGCCACTTCCATGAAATTTACTACTGTTTTTTTTTTGTATAAACAAACCACTTAACATAGAAGAGAAGGGAAATCATCAATTGAATAATTTATGTATTTGTTTTTTTTAAATATAAGATAAATCTGGTACTAATAAATGAACTTAATATTATTACAATTTTTTAATGTTAAAATGCCCTACCCTGATCAAAAAGGTTAAAAGGTCAAAGATGATAATCATTCAAAGAAGTCAGCTTCTTTTATATCGGAAGGTTAGCATCTGGACACATTTTTAAAAAAATCAATTTTCTTTTTTAAAGAAAAACATTATCAATGTTGATACGCATGTGAATCATATGAAAAATAGTTAAAATTATATTGAAAATATTTATAACAATAAAAAAATTAAAAGAATTTTTTTAATTAAATGAAAAATTATTATAAATCAATATACAAAAAAACCCATGCTATCAATCCTGATATAAAAGAAAATTATGTAAATACATAAATTTCTTATTATTGCTCACATTAAAACCCAGCGATAGAAAGATACTGACAGTTGTTTAATAAATCTATATATAGATAATACAAACAATCCCCCCTCCCCATTTTAATATTTATGCTTAACATGAGCTATTTTTTCTAGAAAGAATTTATATGTAAAGTTTTACA